TATTAATAAAGTGCGCGTAGGTGTCATTGCCTTTTGCATGGGAAATTTGTATGGGGAAAAAGTTGGCCGACAGATATTCGCTCGACAAGCGTGTGTGCGCCCTTATTAAAACACGTAAGCCCGGGGTATTGTCCTAGCCAAGCAGATTATGGACCGCCGTTACTCGGCTGGAATGGATCGTTTACGCTAGTGCTAAAAATTCTTGCAAGGGGCATTACGCAAATTCGAGTTTATACAGCGGGTGTGTGCAACTTGGCTACACGGAAAGAGAAATTTGGCCGCAACGATATTACTACTTGTCGAGAAAAGTAATGGCGCTAGCTGCAGAGACATTCAAGAACTTTTTATATTGTGTGTGTCTGTCTGTCTGTCTGTCTGTCTGTCTGTATGTCTGTCTGTCTCTCTCTCTCTCTCTCTCTCTCTCTCTGTGCGTGTATGTGCGTGTGCGTGTGCGTGTTCGTGTGCGTCGGCGCAGCGAAACAGAAACCGGGGTAATGAACTTTCGTTGCGTAGATGCTGGCAATGGATGTGGAATCGCGCGAGATGCAGAAAAATGCCTGAAGCCTTGGCTGATCGATGAAGAATGAGAATAGTTTTCATTTCCTCCGTATTAAAACGGAGTAATAAGCAATTCCTTATTGCATTAATTGCAATGTGCGTGCAAGTGTTTGTGTACATTTTACCCATTAAGAGCAAAAGTTTTCTTTTGCTGCAGAATTTATTAAAATTAAAATGAAATCGGTATATCGGGCTCATTAAGTACATATTTAACATTCTTCTTGGATACATCTGATACGGAAATTAATGGATTATATATGAATTTAATTAAAGTTCAGTAAAGTTATAATATCATGGTGGGCTGGTTGCGGGGGGGGAGGGGGGGGGTTAGAGACAGAATTGGGAGAGGGGAAAAAATTATAACTAAAAAGCTAATTTTTACATACATTGTAAGATTTATGGCAAAACTTTTTAATTTATACAGGCTTCTGATTTTTAATAATTTAGATTTGCTTGTCTGTTTTAAAATACATTTGCATAAGAAAAATTATAAATTAATTTTTAAATTAAATGTACAGAGATATGAGAATTAAAGGGCGATTTTGTGGGTGTAGTTTACATTTTCATGAGGCAAAAACTCGTGTACTGGTGTAATTGAGAATAAAATTATGTCGATTTTTATAAAATATCATATTATCGTATTAAAGCTTATTTGTTTTTTGCATCCAGGTAAAGCTAAGTTATGCGATTTTCCAAAGAAATTAACGAATGCTTTGGCCCGCCATTTCTTATTTTCCTTATTTTCGCGTTAATCAAAAGTAAATCACTTTGTATTCACGGGACGGCGCTTTACTGTTCTCGATTCTCACGTACGCTCGTTTCAGGTCACTACTACTAATAAGCACAACAATAATAAGCTTTCCCCTATATTCGTTCGCGTTTACTTTATTCTTTATTCGATCCATAGGATTTTTAAGTCAATGCTAGTTAAAATACATTGCAATATTATTGATAAGATTAGTAAAATTCTAGATATAATTGGCCTTGACTGAAAAAAATGGTATTTGTATAAAAGCCAACGAGGGTCCACCAAATGAATCTAAATACTTAAATTACTTGTGACTAAATAATTTTTCAGCAACTATCTCAAGCAATTTACTTTTGAAATGTTAATCCTCAAGATAGTAATTATTATTAGTAAGTAATAAAAGTCTTCCATTTTATGCAAATATTGGCATTCGCATGAATACGTACGCGCTTCCTGTGAAGTTTCAGCGAATTATCGATGTAGAGTTTATGGGAAAAGATAGCGAAGCTCACATAATAAATAATCGTTAGAAGATTGAAAGAGCGTAAAGCCCCGGAACGAATAGGCGAGATATAAAGTAAAGTGGCTAAAAAAGGGGGACGAGGGAGAGAGTGAATTGCGCCGGCTGTCGAGGGGAATAATGAGTGCCGAGAGAAGAAAGCGGCGAGTGAGAGAGACAGAGACAGACAGAGAGAGAGAGAGAGAGAGAGAGAGAGAGAGAAAGAGAGAGAGGTTGATGCGAACGACGAGGACAATGGAGCGAATTGTGAAATGCATTCGGGCGATCTACCTCGCTGTCTCATCACGTGCATTGTACGAGTAACGGGGATCCTAAGCTCCTCGTGAATCTGCGCAACTACGTATTCGCACCTCGGCTCCTCTGCCGCTCTGCCCGTCGCCGAACGATACAAACATCCTCTGGTTCCTCCGGATGCGCGATGTCATCTCCATACGTATAAACGATCCTGCTATCCTCAGCAAGTCGCGCCTCGTTCCTTAAGGAAATGAGCAGATTGTTATACGGCCGTTCGACACGTCGTCCCAGCTTAACGATGGCGCGACTTCAATGGCAAAAAAAGTCCATGGATTTGCGATTTTACATAGCTCACGCACCCCGAGACTCGACTCGAATTCCGTTGACGGAACTTTTTCAATGGCATTTGCGAGAATGCACGCGGGAATATTTAAAGCTACGGCTTCTCTTGGTGCCGCTGCCGTTGCTGCCGGATCCCATTCTCCGCAACTTTTCATGAATTTCCAATACTAATTGAGAAGTTATAAAGCTAATGAAAAACTTTATTCTCATTTAATCCTTGTTTCGGCGCCATTCAATATTGAAATTGCATTAACTTAATCAAAATACGCGCGCCGAATAGAGAGCTCCGGGAAATTTGCATGTCTGAGGAAAAGAGGGAGATGACTGGATATTCAGATAGTTGGATAGATACATAGAAGGAAAAAGAGGGGGAAAAAAGGGGGGGGGGGGGGAGATCGAATCAAATAGACACACAAAGGATGACACAAAGAGCGAGCGCCGGATTAAACGCTATAGGTGGTCGAGATTCCGTCTCGAGCAAAGAAGAGAAGTTTCCCTCGACTCGTTGAGTGAGTCTGCGGCAACTGTACAGAGAGAAAGATGCAGCATTAGAACCAATGGGGACATTACCAGCGCGACCAACGTGGAAAATCCCTGTGGAAACGAGTTGGAGCACTGAGAAAATGCTACCGGCATACGCTCGTTTGACACACACTCTCTCTCTCTCTCTCTCTCTCTCATCCTTTTTCATTTTTCGATCGAGCAGGAAAAAGGATTGGAGAGGCCGATAAGGATCACCGAGGCAAAAGCGAGCGAGAGAATGTTCGATGCTCGTTACACCAAGATCTTCGCGCCACACTCCTCGTCCCCACCCCACTAGGGTGCTAAAGGATAGTAAAGCGCGAACATCCGCGCCGATAAACACACCCATCTAGCAGTGCTAGAGGCAGGCTCGAGATAGGGTCGCGAACGGGAGAAAGAGATGCCTAACCGAGGGACGGAATAGCGATGATGGCTCCGAGGGGGAAGAAAAATCAGTGCAAGTGTCGGTGAGGCGAAAATCCGCGACGTGGCGAGGAAGAAGAGGAA